CGATCCCAATACGAAGTTCGCGAACATCAGGGATATCCATCGGGCTCAAATCGAAGCGGGTGAAAAGGAGGTTATCACGGCTGAATCCAGCGACTCTGAATGCCCTAGTGAGGCTGGCAGCTGTATTGTAGTGGGTGTGGTTGAGGATCAATAGTTAATAGTAATGAGGAGGTTGGGTTGTGATCCCATCGTTTTTGTGGTGCCAGAAACAGGGGGGTGCCAGGAAGTGGGTATGTTGACTTACATGTAGATTTGGATTTCGAGAGCTTCAACAGAAATCTTTGGAAATGTGGTTTTTTCTAATCTCAGACAACTTGATGAGATCACACAGGTCACTTTAATATGTTCAAACAACGACTTTTAGATCTAATTTGATCCTAGTTAAGTTGGCTAATAGAGTTGCGGGTTGGCCGATTACCTCCTGTGATAAGGTTAAGATAGCCCTTCCTCGACCCCTGAACCACAGCCAGTGGAATCAGACCGAAAGCTTCCACGTTCCTGAGGCCCCTGCCGACCAAAAACGGCTCTACGAGAAAGGGGATGCGGGATTTACGAAAACCCATGCTAGGCGCGCGGGGGAGACAGTTGTCGATATCAAAGCGTCACCGAGTCGACATTTACGATGCCTTCTCCGCCTCTAGAGGGCCTGGAGGGGGGAAGGGGTCATTTTAACCCGAAGGAGCAGAGTAGCAGTCGGATTGTCTCCATTCCGAATGCAAGAGGAACTCGTTTCTAGATCGACGCTTCATTTTAGGTGCTTATCATCAAGGCTTCCTTGGAGGGGCGGATAGACTAGTCAGCGTTGCTATGGCTCTTGGCAGGAGGTCGGACCATGATCCCCGCCACGGCGGGCAGCTTCGGCCTGACAGAGAGCAGCGGGCCATATGGGAGGAGCCGGATTCAGATCCGCAAAGAGAATACGAGTACATTTTCGGCTTTTGTCAAAAAGCCAAAATTATTGCTGGGCCAGGTTCAAGTACACAGTCAAGATGCTTAGAAGATCTAGGATTATTGTTCCGGTCATACTCGGTTGCTGACTGAACCTCTATGGAGAGCAGAAGTGTGACTTGTTCCATTGTATGACTACGAAGTCAGCAACTAGGAGATCTAGGTAACGCTTCATGAAAGGTATGATGTCAAATACAAGGTATGTTTTCTCAACCGGAGACCCAGATGATAGTTACACACCAGATATCGCCGGCCTTAGACGCCCGTCACCTGCTTTCCGTCTCATTTCACGTATCATTGTAATGACGTTCTGTTGTCAGACCAAGGTCCTTCGACTCTGAGCAAGCACGAGTCTCTGCCGAGTCATATTAGCGCAATAGCGTATCATTCTTCCAACACTGCCATCTTGTTAGCGAGGATATATCTCATTGTACCATCATGCAGAGCCTCCAACCGTGTTCGCCAAGCTACGTGCTCGTGCACCACCCCAGCAACAACCAGCCCAACATCGATACCACTCTCGAAATGAAAGGATCATGAGGAATGATACTTGTGCCAATGCTACCTACTCTGAGGCACACAAGGAAATATCAACCCACTCTCTTCGTCTGTGGGTCTTCGAGAGTTGCCGCTACCTTGCGCAATAACATCGGATCCACCACATTGGATGAGGGACATTGTAAACATTGCAAGATAATCGGCTCAGTGGCGATGTAACTGAAATGATATGTGTGTGTGCGCGATTTCTGCAGTTGATGCCATCACGTACATCGGCCATTGATTTCCTATCGCAGTCTTCAAGGCGAGTCTCTTGCAGAAAACTTGCATCAGTCACAAGGCATGCATCAGCTTCACGACCGGATTACCGGAAGGGGACTGGAAGATTTCTCTGTGTTCAAATCCTATCCGAATTCGGAGTGGAAGCTGAAGTGGTTCTGAGTCCTGAATCGGCAAGGTTCTTTGGTCTTTTCTTTTGCTTGATCTTGTCTCCTGATTCTTGTATAAGATCACCCGCTCCGTTTCATATCCAACAGAATCTCTTGCTCGACACACATTCCTAACCCGAATAATCTGACTTTCTAGTCACTGTTCTCCTTCTTCCTGCAACATGCGGTTCCAACTGACCGTGGCGCTCGTACAAGCAGCGCTCTCCGCCTGCCTCGTTCAAGCTCAAAACTCTTCATTCAGTGATACACACATCTCTCAAATTCCCGAAGCAGAAGTTGTAGCCCTAGCTCAAATTGTAGAAGATGACCCAGAGGATGTCTTCACTCTTCTCAAAGATTGGGAAAGCCCCGAGTATGCCTTGATTTACAAGGTGCCTCTGCCAATCCCTCCTGTCAAGGAACCTACCAAGTACGACCATCGGATATCTTTCTGTTTAGACGCTGTTTTCCTGACATATCTCACAGAAAGATCATCAACCCAGTCACTAACAAGGAGATCTGGTACTACGAGCTTGAGATCAAGCCTTTCAGTCAGGCGGTTTATCCCAACTTGCGCCCTGCAACTCTGGTGGGCTACGACGGCATCTCTCCGGGACCGACACTGATTATTCCTCGCGGAACGGAGTCTGTCGTCAGATTCATCAACAACGCTGCTGCCGAGAACTCGGTTCATCTGCACGGATCTTACTCTCGTGCCCCTTTCGATGGCTGGGCGGAAGATATCACCAACCCAGGAGAGTACAAAGATTACTACTATCCCAACCAACAGTCGGCGAGACTGTTGTGGTACCATGATCATGCAATGCATCTTGTAAGTCCTCCATATCATGATGAAAATGTAGGTATAAGCTCTAATTCGAACCCACAGACCGCTGAAAATGCCTATATGGGACAAGCCGGAGCCTATCTGATCACGGATGAGGCGGAGAACGCTCTTAACCTGCCTTCTGGATACGGCGTCTACGACATCCCTCTTGTTCTCTCTGCGAAGCAATACAACGATGATGGTACCTTGTTCTCAACCAAGGGTTAGACTGACAGTCTCTGGGGCGATCTGATTCACGTCAACGGCCAGCCCTGGCCGTTTCTTAATGTCGAGCCGCGAAAATACCGATTCCGTTTCTTGAACGCAGCGATTTCCCGCGCTTTTGCGCTATACCTTGTTAACTCCAATGCTGTGAACGGAAAGCTGCCATTCCAAGTTATCAGCTCCGACAATGGACTCTTGGGGAAGCCGGTGCAAGTCGCAGACCTTGTGAGTTCTACCCGTAGTATTTGAGTAAAGACGCAAACTTGCTGACTCTTATTTAGTATGTCTCACCAGCTGAGCGGTATGAAATTGTCATCGACTTCGCTCAATACGCTGGCCAGAGACTCGAAATCAGGAGTTTCCCCAAGGCTGGCGGCATCGGCGTCGAGGACGACTACTTGCATACCGACAAGGTAATGCAGTTTGTCGTTGGTACGACCTTATCCAGACCCGACACATCCACCGTTCCAGAGGTCCTTCGCACTGTTCCCTTCCCAACATCAACTGACAACGTTATCGATCACCATTTCCGATTCCATCGTACCAACGGCGAATGGCGCATCAATGGGGTAGGCTTCGCCGATGTGGAAAATCGTGTTCTCGCCAACGTCCCCAGAGGCAAGGTCGAGATTTGGGAGCTTGAGAACAGTTCAGATGGTTGGTCTCACCCCATTCACGTCCACCTTGTCGACTTCAAGGTCATCGCTAGAGACGGTGACCGCGGTGTGATGCCCTACGAAGCAGAGGGCTTGAAAGATGTTGTCTGGTTGGGCAGAGGCGAGTCTGTCCTTGTTGAGGCCCACTACGCCCCCTGGGACGGCGTTTACATGTTCCACTGCCATAATCTGATCCACGAGGACAGCGATATGATGGCCGCCTTCAACGTCACTGTTCTTCCAGAATTTGGATACAACGAGACCAAGTTCATTGATCCCATGGAAGCGCGCTGGAGAGCAAAGCCGTACCTCATGGCTGATCTTCGTACTCGAGCTGGGTCCTTCTCAGACTCGGCCATTGAGGAGGCAGTGCAGGCTATGGCCGCTACTGACCCGTACAGCAAGGTTGACGACGTTTACAAGAACCTCGATCAATACTGGGCATCGCATGTGAGTAAGTAAGGTGGATTTGAGGCGCCTATATGCGCATTGATTCTTTTACATTCCTGTTATTTCCCTTGGCCGGTAGCTTCTACGTTCTTTACTACTTCCACTTGTTCATCATTATCAACTTCCTGTAAATACGCAGACATTAGCATGATTTGCCTCACGTACTCATAAGCTTAGCAATCATTGATTATCCGGTAGTTATGACCATGAATTGGATCATGTTTGTATTCCATGGCGTGAACTCTCTTCTAGATGTAACTTTCGCTCGGGAAAGCGGTGTGCACAAGAGTGGCCTTCATTGCGTTTGCCTCACTGTCCTCATTACTGCAAAGTTTTAAACAGGAGAAGCTATTTGGCTATTGGCCTTGTTATGTGGATGCCATCAGATCAATGTGATTGAGACCGGAACTACCAGGCCTTCTGACGAGATTATGCTTCCGCCTAGTACAGGACGGGCGACAGTGTCACTATGAGAAATGGCCCGAACATCATTTTGATCAATGCGCAGATGTTGACAATGCTTCACTAGATTCTGCTCGACTACCGCAAAGTCAATGGGCAATCCCCCCACCGGTCCAGTTTGGACTTACACTGGTTGGGCATAGTGAACCGCCCCATCCTGAGACCGCCAGACCTTATTCTTTGACACGTATATACTTAGTACTTGATGGTCTAGATTCGCAGCACTAGAGACACTCTTGCCTGTTCCCATACAGATTTTTCCATGAAGATATCAAGCAGCCTAGAGCCTGAGTTGACTTGTTGATTCTAGTACGCGTAGAGATTGATTGCTTCATCTTGGGTGCTTCTGATCTTCCTATTGGCGCGTTTCAAGATGAATTTCATAGCCCATCCTGTTAAGACCACGCCTAGGGAGAAGGCGATGCTAGCGACCATGGCTCTACGAAAAAGGGGGCTGTCACTATCCGGCCATAGATAAGGGGTGTAGACAAAAGACAGATTGCCAAACGTATTGACAATGGCGATTGCGGCAGCTTTCTTTTCGTCAGTCTGACCGACCGTGGCTGATGTCCACGCGACTAAAGTAACGCGTTAGTTCATGCCCATCAAGTCAAGACGCCCGGGTCAAGCAAGTGACGATTACCATTAATATTGTTCACTCCATATGTAGCCGCCACAAACAGAACCATGGCAAAGTATCGTGCGCCGATGTTCATCGTACTTGTTGCTACCGCGAAGCCGACGATCGCGACTGCCTTGGAACCTGTAATGTGCCAGGTACGTTCGTTGAACCTTCCTGAGGACCACGAAACCAGAACTGACGTCGCTCCCCCGATTAGATATGGTGGACAAGTGAGTACCAGCGTTGTTGTGGTACTGAAGCCAAGTGACTTGACAGCTGTCGGCAAGTAGTTTTTGAAGTTATTTGCCGAGAGGTGAAGATTTCCCATGAGCGCAAAAACCCAGGTGCGATAATCTGTGACGGCTTCCCAGAGGCCAGACCAAATGCTGGTTCCCTGTCGTTTTTCTGTTGTGTCCTTTGCAACCCGCGAATGAGCCAACTCGCGTTCTTCTTGAGTGAGCCATTGGGTTTGGAGCGGGGCATTAGGAAGCACGAAAAAGGCCACCACGGCAACACCAACTGTATGGTAATACTGTCAGACTCTGGGCTCGGGTCATCTTCTGCATTGTTCAAGACAAAGTCTTACTTGTGACGACACCTTGAATCAAGAACAGCCATCTCCACCCAGCCATGCCATGCCGTCCGTCTAGACCAGCGAAGACGCCAGCGGCAATAAGACCGGAGAATGAGCTCGCAAGCAAGTTGCCTGTGTAAAATACAGCGAGTCGTGTTGCAACCTCTTTCCGTGTGTAGAACAAGCTCACGAGGTAGCAAGCGCCCGAGTAGAATGGTGCTTCAGTGAGGCCAAGCACCAGCCTTTCAACCGACGGACATCATCAGTCTTCGGGATCTGCGAGCAGGTACAAAAGATGTCCGACTTACCTGCACGCAAGCATTCCATGATAATCCTTGACAACACAAATGAGAGTTGACACAATAGCCCACGCCATCATCCAGCCGGACATGTAATATGCAGGCTTGACGCGCGTAACCAGCATGTTCGACGGAACTTGTCCTGTGATATAACTGCCTTGATATGTCAGCAATTTCCTGGTACAAACAATGTCTAGTAGATCACTTGTGATTGTGTGACTGACCCAACGAAGAAGACGCTGACGCAGGTGTTGTACTCGGATCCTTTCATGTTGAGATCGTTGTCCAGGTTATTGAGCTTGCCGTTCACAATTGCATTTCGGTCAAGGAAGTTCAAGAAGTACATCAACCATAAAATGGGCTGGGTGGAGACTTTTGGTTTAGCTTCATTTTCATCTCAGCAATTATTGGAAATGTAGGGATCGGCTTACCATGAGATAGGTGTCCAATTTCCGAACCAAAGCAATTTCTTTGGGATCAACTTTAGCAGTAGACCCAAACTTGTCAGGATGGGCTCGAAAGCCACCCTCTTTGGGACTTTCTTGGTGGTCAATATGATCGACGACTGCTTCATGGTCCTTGACCATATCGATGGTCATAAAATGTTGGTATGAAGACATAACTGGCTGTAGAGATTATTACTGAATCTAAAGTGACGCGAGTCTGCTTCATGCGCTGAGTTGAGATGAGAATAATTATTCGGAGCTGTGCAAAATATTGCCTCTTAAATAATCCACATAACATCCTATCGGATCTCTGGTCAAACCGGAAAAGGCATCCTCGGGGCCGGAAACTTGCGAAGCACCATCGAAGAGACAACGACAGTGACTAAATGTATGGCAAACTCCTTCACATTACCCACCAATAAACGCCTTTGCTTACTATGGCCGACTATGATCATCGATGCGGCAGTTTGTTCGCCGTGGTTGCTAGGCAAATCCGGGGTGCAGCCTCCCCGTGGGGTAGGCACCTAACATTTGCTTATGAATGCCTAACTACTTTAGCTACGTGTCGAGAATGTCAAGGGATGAGCGATACAACCCGACATTCGCGAAACCCCGATGTCCGTCTACAGCCGCAGGAATTGGCCCGTCCATAGCCCCGAGGCAATTAAGGATGTACCAATGAAAGGTAACACTAATGATGTAATGTTGAGTGAGTACATGATACATTACACCTCATACAAGTCAGGCGCTGGTCCTCGAGACTTCGATTGTCTAACGGTGTCATGCAAAAGCCGGGTATCACGTTGCTGACCTGCAATCGTCCGCACCTGATAGAAGACATCGTGTCTGACAAGTAAGATGGATAGGATGCTGTTACAGGGCACTGCTGCCCATCATTCAGTAACATGAAGGGGGATCATGGATGCTCTCGTCACCATGAGAACGTGTTTCCTGGTCATTTCAACTAATGCAAACATAAAGGGAGGCTGCATATGATGGCCTAGATGGAACCGGATAAAGGTTACTACTGGTGTACCGTAAGATTCAGTTGATGTCTACTTTCTCATGCTAGAAAAGGCAGTGACAAGTCCTAGAGTATCGAAGCTTTGTTCCTCGAATGATCGATACGTGACGTGGGCGGTGAGATGCTGGGACAAGTACATATCAGCTATAAATACGTCAACACGCTGCTATCTTCCTGCAACAGCGTATCTAGCAATCAACTCTGTCAAGTCATATACCGAATCTTGCATGCATCTGATTTTCGGTGAATTGCTTGTCATTGATCATCTTTTTCGCCTCAAGTTCAATCTTTTCCCAGATGGAACTCCTAGTCGTCTTGCTAGGACTTTTCCTGTGGGCTGGCGCCACGCCGGTTCCGGAGAAGATGGACTCCGTCTGGAATAAAGAAAACATTTGTCAAGATTGGGACTTTTCGACTGCGGAAGGTGTCGAAAAATTGTGGCAAGAAACTGCCGCGGGCTTTTCTCTTGATTTCTTCCTCGAAATAAGCCTGAGTAAGTCGACAATGCCGAGTCACAAACCTGTTGGCTCGCGTGCCTCATTCACTCCAACATTCAGAAGCTCATCCCATCACTACTACAGAAGACACAGGTGTGGCGTTCTCCCAAAATAAGGCAAACGAAGGCTGGACCACCAAGCTTGAACATAAAATACGAAGCAATGGTCGTCCTGGAGTCGGCGGCTGTTCGACAATCGGCGGCCAATGCAGCCCTTTTAGCGACTGGGACTGCGAGAGATACTATGATGAAACCAACAAGACTAGCTTTGGCACAAACTCATACTGGGTCTTCCAAGCCGTCATAGGGCTACACAGCAAGATTGACAAGATCAACGAAGAGATTACTCGACAAACCCTCGTGGAGAATTTAAAGATATCGCAGACGCTCAGTGAGTTCGACTCGCCGGACACGAAGGCTTCAAGTGTGTTCAAGTGGATTGCAGCCGCTGCATCGATGGGAGGCGGTCTCATGTCTTTGCCAGGAGCGGCAATGGTACCGGTATGTTCAGATACAACGTTCTCCAGCATTTTCAAATCTCACTACTTAAGTTTTACTGATTCCTCGCCAATGGACAGGGCCCTGCCGGATTCGTGACTGCAGGACTAGCTATCATTGGCAGCATCTCTTCTCAAATGGCCGATGCGGAATCGAAAGAGAATACAGAGGCGAATGATGTTGCAGTTGCCTTGGGGAATGCTTTTGAAAGCCTCACAAAAGGCCTCGAAGACATCCTTCGCGTCGCTACAGGTGGAGGGATTGATGACAATGAGTATAATGCTCTTCCTAGTCTTGGAAACAAGAGGGACAATTTCCTCAGCAAAGTTCCCGCTTTTCTGAACGGCGGTTGGCCATTACTTGCTGAGAACTCGCGCGAATTCGCAAGCTGGGTTGGCATCATCAGTGATAACCTCAAGATGAAAGTGGCAACTGAGGCCATGAAGGCTTCGAAACTACATCTGGTGGCAGACAGGCACAGAGACGCCGAAACCAGAGAAGGATGTGGAACCGACATAGGCCGTCAGTGGATGGAATTGAGGAACGGCGAAGAGTACTGTTTCTACCTAATGAGAGAATCGGCTGACACCT